ATGATTTGTTTTCATGTTTTGCTATAAAGTGTTTGGCAATTATGGCTTTGATATTATTTAAAATTTTGGGAAAACTTTAAAGGCACTATCAGGGATGGAATGCTTCAGAGTCTCAATTTCCCACCCTCTAAATACCATTCAAAATTTTGCTTTTACCATTTTTAGTTCATATTTAGTTTTTACTATTTTTTACTAAGTCACTTGCTACTGCTGAAATAGTTTTTATTTAAAACTTTTTACCCAATAGCATAATAATTTAATATCTAAGATCTTAAATAAGTAGAACTAATTTTTGACCTATGACAGCACTATATATGAGCTAATATATTATGAGATCTATACTTCTGCCTTATAAGCTCTCATAATTCTATTAAGAACCGACTTGTCACTATGAGAAAAGATCATTAGATGCAAAATGCATCATAGCTGTGCTGTATTTTATGTTTGCTCTATAATATGTTGTCTTGGTTTTCACAGTAGCTTATCATATGGTAATGATCCTAATATTACTACAATTTTATCAATTGGGTTCTTTTATTTGTATTTTTTGATAAGTTAAAACACTTGTCTGAGACTCCTGACAGTTGGTAGAAGGGAAATACACTGAGAAACAGTGACTTGAGAGGCAATTTTAGACATTAAATTAATATGGAGACAGAAAAGTTAAAGAATTACTTTGCAGAATAGGCAGTTTAAGGACCTCATCACTCTAGGATATAGTTAATAGGTTAAAGAAGATTGAGATCAACACACAGACAGCTTGATTGAGGCAGAGCTAATATTAAAATCTGAAACATAAGGATGTGCTTTCAAACAATTAGTACTTCTCAGAAGCAGAGCAGGGTCTGCAGCTGGAGTGGCGAGAACCTCACTCTTAATGCTTGAGAGAGGCTGGCTCATACTATCTGGGATACAGTAAAGAAGTTTCCAGTATTGAGTGACTTTTAAATTACCTCCAAATCTATGACTCTATGATTAGCAAACACTGTATATTCATGGTTTTCCTTCCAAAGAGATATAATAACAGGATAAATAAAACTTAACTCAGTTTATCAATTCCTGCATTCATTCAATGGTAAACAAATATTCACAGAGTGTCTACTATGAGCCAGGTACTCCAAAGATAAATGTGTACTTTCCAGTAAATGTTTTCATTTCTGTTTCTGAGACTTCCTCTCAAGTCCCTGCCTTTGGGGGGAATAGCTTTAGAATCAGATGGATCTTGGTTTTTATTTCAGCATCACGATTTACTGGCTTTATAGTCTTGAATTAGCCCTTAAGTCCTTTGAGTCTCAGTTGCATCACTTGTAAAACAGAAATAATACCATCATTTAGTGAATTGATAGGATAAAAAAGCACAGTGTTGACAAATTGCCTAGTCCAATGCCTGGCATGTGGATGCAGGCAATAAATATTAGTCTCCCCCCTTTTTTCCCTTTCCTTGTAGAAAAATGGGAGACCTCACCCAGCTACATCAACTTCATGCAAAACTACCTGCTTCACATCCAGCAACTCTACTCCTGGTCATGTATCTGTAAAAAATGAAAACTTAATTTGAGAAGATATATACACCTGAACATTCATAGCAGCATTACTTACAATAACTAAGATATGGAAGCAACCCAACAGGTGAATGGATAAAGCAGATGTGGTATATATACATATATATAGACATACCCACAATGGAATATTACTCAACCATAAAAAGGAATGAAATTCTACTATTTGCAGCAAAGTGAATGGACCTCGAGAATATTATGCTTAGTGAAATAAGTCAGAAAAAAACAAATACTGTATGATATCACTTATATGTGGAATCTAAAATATAATACAAATGAATGTATATGCAAAACAGAAACAGACTTACAGCATAGAAAACAAATTAGCAATTACCAATAGGGAGAGGGAAGGAAGGGGGAGCAAATTAAGAGTATGGGATTAAGAGATACAAACTACTATGTATAAAATAGATAACCAACAAGGGTATACTGTATAGCACAGGGAATTATAGCCATTATCTTATAATAACCTATAATGAAGTATGATCTGTAAAAATTCTGAATCACTATGCTGTGTACTTGAAACTAATATAACATTGTACATCAATTATGCGTCAATGAAAAAAATTATTAGAAAAACAAAACAAAACCACCTTCACATATCCCAAATGTACACCTCTAGCAGAACTTAAATGATTCCATTTAAACATACATTTTTTCATTCATGATGATGTGGCCCATCTTAGACGCTGAAAAACTAATGTGCTGTCAAGCAACACACTAATTGGGATCTTTGCAGAATTACCCATCTTATAATGATGAAGTATGCAGAGTGGGCAGGAGTGAAAGAAAGGTTTGAAAGTGTGTGAAAGGGAATAACGCTACTTGGGTGAAAATAGAATAGAAAAGTCTGAGAGTAAAGGAAGGGAATAGAAAATAGAAAATGAGAGACTCGGCATGTGAAACTAAAGGGCATTTCATCAAGGACAGTTAATAGAGTCCCTGGCATGGCTAACTTCCAGCTCCGCTAATTACGGTGTGATGGAAAATTCTGGATGTGATTCTTTATTTACCAGGTTGAGGCATTTCCACTTTTGCCTTTGGAATGCCATTCGGGATTGTGGTATCTAAATGAATTCATGCCACACACTCCGTTGAAAGATACTACAAAAACAAACAAAAAATAGCTGAGTGAAATTGCAGCTAAAGACCAAACCTGTAGATGTTTCAGTGCTTCTTTTATTAATTCAAGCCAGTACTTGCCAATCAAGTCCTAAGTAGACCCTGGCACATAACCAAACTGCATTCGTCTGTGAAGTGGCTGGCAGCTGGGGTGCCTATGGACAGTGCTTGTCCTATTATTCCTGTGATCAAGGAGGAATTGGACCTCTGTAACTAAACTCTGTGCAGGTCAGGGACTCTACACATTGATTTAAGACTCAAGTCTCAGAGTGGGATGACTCTGTGATTCTGCTCTAATCCACACAGAAGTTTAATTTCAGGCACCAATGAATCCTTGAAAGTCTGCAAGACATCAAAGTCAACTCAAGTATAAATCTAGGATTTCTATATACGTAGAGGAATTCCAGGGGCCTCCTTCACAAGATTAGAATCTTCCCAAGTCTGGAATTGTACTCATCTTACGGTTCATTTTGTTTGATAGTAATCCAGCCATTCCAGCTCTTTTATGGTTATTGTTTGTGTGGTGTATCTTTCCCCCATCATTTTCCTTTCTGTTTATTTGTGCCTTTGACTCTGTCTCTCTTAAAGGGCATACGGATGGACCTTATTCTTTAATCAGTCGGACAGTCTCTGACTTCTGATTTGAGGTCTTAGACCATCCACCTTTAATGTAATTATTGATACAGTCAGAGATGCATTTGCTATATTACTGTTTGTATTCTGTCTCCTGTCTCATTTGTTCCTCTGTTTCCCCTTCATTGACTTCTCTCTGTTAATGCTTATAATATATTGGGGCCAGGCCTTGTTTTTGGCAAAAATTATTTCTTTTTCTAGGATTATTTAAAAAATAACTCGGTTGTGCAGGATAAATGGGGCCACATTTGCTGTTATTCTTAGCAAGATTATCTTTCCCATCTTTTCCTATCCACTCATTTCTCTCTGCCCTACTTTACTCCTGCTTGAAGAAGCAGGTAAACAGTCATCATTTGCTACTTGGACTATGGCGAATTCTAGTATGATGTGCGTCTATGTGTATAATGGTTATTAACTTGAGAGAATGTGGGAGGGAAATAATTTTCCTCCCTCTTGTCAACTCTAGAATAAGGGAAAGAATTTGATAGCTGTCACCCTTTTAATATGAAAGAAATTTAAGATATACTATGTTACATTTTAAGAAGTACAAGGTACCATATTCTTTGTGATTTCAAGCATGTCAAATTAGAAATGTGGAAAAAATAAACATATATGCTTAGAAACAAGACAATTTAATGTTAGAAATTTCTCATGTTGGTATAATAACTGTTTAAAATTTTTTTCTGTTTTCCATATTTTCTACAACGTGAATACATTCCCTTTTGCCCACAAGGATTTTTTTCCCTGATTTAAAAATTGACACTCCTTTGTTTAAAAACAATTCAAATAACATTCCTATTCTAAAGAAAACAGAAATCATCTCAAGTCCTTTTAATGATCACCTCTATTTGGTAAACATTGTTTCTGACATCTGCTTTTGATTGCCACATTAATTTTACAAATGAACATCACAAAAGATTTTATTATTTTATTTATTGTTTATAAACCTAGAGTCAGCCTATGCTCTAGACTTATGAATAATAAATTCCTGTGTATGCCATTTATTTTACAGAGACTATATCCAGATTCTTTCTAGTACCTCCACTGCATTCTCATCCTGGGTGAGGGATGAAGTGGGAGAAATACTCACCTCACAGCAAGACAGAAAAGAGCGTGCACTGGGGCACATACTGACACAGATTAGGTAAGGACCTTACAAATCACCCCTTCATAACTCAGCCTGTTTCTTCTGTAAAAACACCCTCCTCACTCACCCTCAGCATAGTTTGAGGATAAAATCACTTACAAGATGCACATAATGTTATTACTTCCAAAACCTCTTCCTGCATTTTCTTCTAGCCCTTATGTATGAAATAATTTTATTTCTTTAAATTATAGGTTGAATAGAGAAAATAACTGTTTTTTACTTCTTAGTACTTTTCTTTTTGTTTTACACTATGTGGTCCAATCTATTATTATACAGCAGATAATTTATTATTAAAACATCTCATTAGGAGAATCTATGTAGTGATATGGATTCTGTGGTTTTTGTCTCAAGTTTGTAAAAGACTAATTGCATTGCTATATTGTGCACAGGAAACACCACAGACAGACAATTTGCTTTTTGTTTTTTCCTTTTAGAGCATCAAAGTGAAAACCTACCAAGGAGCTAAAAAAAAAAGTTGGTGCTTTGGAAGATATATTAATCCTGGATAAAATTCATGTACTTAAATCATAGCAGTCACATTCTTCTTTGAGTCATTTTTTTATTTAACATGTAAGACAGGATGCTCATTTACCTTGACGTAAAATACACAGCTGAGGCACAAGATAAGATACAGTTATACAAAAATATCAGACCTCTGACCCCAAGTCAGTGTACAGGATGCACCGTACATAGGACATTCAAAACACTCTTTACTTTCTCAGCTACTTCTAATTATATCAGCTTAAATCATTGCTACCTGATAACTGATTTCTTTTTAAAAAATGGGTTGATATTAGGCACTTAATAAATTCTTAGAGTCAACAAAGTTTGTGCTTCTTTGTTTTTGAATGCAATCAAAACGTTTTCTTCCAATGAGTTTGTCCAATTAAAGTCTTGCAGAAACGCACATGCTCTTAATGAGTTTATCCCGAGGTAAATACAAAAATAAGCAATGAATGTACTTTACGTTAGATTCTGCAGAAAAGTTTATTGGAGCGAGGAGTATGATACATGTTTTGGGGCAGTAGTTATTATATACAATATTTTTCATTCTAATAAAATGGATACAATGCTTTACACTGTCCATTAACAGTTTTACAACTCCACAGTAGTAATATGCAGTCTGCCAGTCTCCTTACAGGCCACTGTTCCCTTAAAAGGAAAGCAGAGGGTGGCTGCTGCATCCTGGATAAGGGCAGGAGTGTCTCTCAATTAAACACCAAGTATCCGGATGTACTGTGTGAAATGATTCTAGCATGAAGAAGATCTGAGCTGTTGTTGCTTCAAATGATTGTTTTTACTTGAGCCAAAGTATGTTAAACTCCAGGAAATTAGTTCTAGTTAGTAGACAGATAAGAATGTGCTTTTACTCTTATTTAATCAACAATTTACTTGTGTGAAGTATGTGTGTTAGTATTGCGGCTGGGTATGATGCGGTCTAAGGGAGCTTACAGTATTTTGAAGAGTAAGGGTATATACATAAAAGACAGACAGCTTCATCTTCCCTCCACCCCACCCCGTCCGCCTCCTCCAATTTTCTTCTGTCTCCCAAGATGCAAGATGCCTTGGGGACATGACAGGAAGACTGTCACCTGTCACTGGACCTATGATGCGAAGATCTCTCAGAAAGCCGTAGTGTGTTGTGTGGTGACCCCTTCTGCTTGGCTACTCTATATAAGAAAAATGCAATTGTGCCACTCACTTTTCCAATCCAATCCTCTTTCTACCTCTTAAAAATGAGGGTGGGGAGAGGGACTGTCAGTAGGGGGCGGTTCAAGAGGAGACCTGCCTTTCATTCTGTCATTTGGAAGATTTCTTTTAAAAATTTTGTTCCCAATCTCTATGCATAGATCAAACTGAAAGAAAAGATTAAACATTGAGTCTCAGTCTATTGCAGACAAGCTCCTGAAATTCCAGACAGTCTGTTTTCAACAAGATGTGACTTGAAATATGGTAAGATCAAACATAATCAGTTACGAGTGTCTCTGGTATCTGCCTAGTATATTGCCATGATTTCCATGGTGTTTCTTATAATGAAAGGATTTCCAAGCCTCAACTCACCAACAAGGAACATCCAGCCCTCAAGGTCCTGCAGGATGGCACCAGGCTTAGAATGGCCTTGCCAAGGAAGCCTCAAGTCAGAGTCAAACATTCCCACTGTACAGTTGAGAAGAAAGCAACTGGAAGACAGAAAGCAGAGAGATCCTGCAAATAGGCCCTAGGTCCTACTGCTTGGTCCTCATGGCATTGAAATTCTCCAGGCTCTGACAGGAGGAAAATCCAAGGAGCTCTTGTGTAGAGTTCTGAACTCATTAGCTATGGGAGAAAGGCTTTGATATATTTAAAAAGGAAAATAAAGGCTGATCTCAAAGCAAGGAGTCCAACATTAGAAGTGATAAGTGATAACTCATCTTTAAATATTTTGGGGGGATGGTAAAATTTCAGCAAGAAATGTTTATATGTGTGCCTGATTGGGGATGGAGGGAGCTGATTCTGGGATGTAGTGGATTGGGGAGCTCAGGGCATTTATATGGGGTAGAGGAGCCATTCTCATTAGTTCAAAACTGGACCTCCTGGGCACCAGATGTAGCAACTGGGCTGGGGCTAAAGAGACTACACTTGCTCCCTTACTTTTCCTCAAGGTTGATGGTTAAAGACTGTTACTTAGAATTTCTAAATTCCAGGTTAAATTTTAATATGAGGATCAAAAATACTGACTTGTTCACCAGATTACAATGTTAGATTTTAACTCTCTTTTTATTGTTCTACATAAGATGTTGCCAAACAGTGCTCACATTCAGGAAACGGTTGCACTTAGCTTTTGGTCATGCACTGCAGAGTCCACCCCCAGGGGTGGTGTCAGAGTTTCTGGGAAGGAGGGATTTAGGATGCCAGTCTGATTGGAAGGGTTGCCCAGCGGATTCACCTTCAAGTTGTGTCTGCATTAAAATTCTGCTGTTTACAGTTAACCTGTATATTTTAATTAAAAAGTAGCATCATTTTGAGGATGTTAATGCTCTTCTTTTCATTTTTTAGATTATTAGTTCCATGGGTGAGAATGGGGATTATGGGGTGCTGATGGAGACCCACTGAAGGGCTAAATCTTGCCAGCTTCCCCGCATTGGCGTAGCTGCTGACAGTGTCCCACCATGGTCTGTAAATTTCTTAAAGATGTTCCATCTCTGAAGCACCTTTCATGCTGTCCCTACTACATTATTCCATACCAACCCTTCAGAGGGCCACAGAAGGACCAAGGACTGAAGTCCTGTATAAACGATCAAATCACAGAAGCTGGTGTTGACAGCAGAGCACACGTTTTAAACAAGTTTTTCCCTGGTAGGCTTCTCGAAAACCTCCCCTGGGGAAGAAGACTAACGGAGAGGGACTGAGAAGGGTTGCAGAACAGCGAGGGTAGTAGGAGACTCTTTTTTAAAGGCTGATTTGCTGGAAGCCTCTTTTCTGAGCAATGATGTGAGGGCACCAGCACACCCACCACGCCCTGAGCAAGGGTCGGCCCTGGTTTTCTCACCATCGGGCAGAGCAAGACAGTTAATTCGCGCAGAGCGGATTAGGACACGCTTGTCGGAGACATGATCCTGTAAGAAAGCACACTGCGTGGAAGCTGGCCGGCAGCCTCCCACGCAGCGCCACCGCGGCCCTCGGGCTGCCTGGAGAGACGTGGCTGGGGCTCCTCTTAGCATCTCCTCCCAAATAGCTTTCCTCAAGCACTACGCAACCATCTTTTGCTTTTGCGCGAATATTTGTTTTCCAAATGAGCCTAGATATTGGTTTTGTAAAAAGTACAAATTATTATGGTTGAGTCAACATCACATTTGGTAAAAACACCTCCTCCCACAAGCTTCATTTCCAGCCCACTAATGACACAGATAATATTTAGAGATTAAACTGCCCATGAATCTAGTGCTCGGAGAAAATAAACAAATTGGATCACTGAAGTTCAAACTGGATCATAGAAATTACAAATATTTACAAAGGATGACCTTTCACAGAGTGGCTCCATCTCCTAGAGAAAGTGGAACAGTGTTTTGGTGGCTGTGTAGGTCTGATTTTCACTGTGTGTCGCCCTTTACGTTTCTTTTTTTTTTTTTTTTTTTTTTTTTTTTTTGCTTTTAACTCCTTCCTTTTCCCACAAGTTCATATCAGTTTTTATTAATATTAAAGGAAGGCTATAATTTTAGAAATTGAAATTGAAATTGAAAACTGGGGACCTATGTAGCACGATTGTAACCCAGCAGGACCCTGCTGGGCCTTCCTGGGACAGACTCCTCCCCCATGCCCTCTGCTGTAGTTCTTCTCTGAAGTACCCAGATAATAGGATCTCATGCATATTTCCTGAGCTTTTCAGATGCTAAAAACCACCACCAAAGGGAAGGAATGAACTACCTGATGACAGTGAGCACGTGGCCTCCAGACATTCTGGTGCCCAGGGGCTGATAGTGTTGATGGCCCTGTTACCTCCACATCAACCCATCAGGGAATTTGCATGAGCTGAGCAAGTACCCTGCGATGACTGCCCCCACCACCCCACCTTGCCTTTACGTAGGCTTTGCTCAAACCCTTCTGGGAGTTTGGGATTTTCCTGGGCATTGGCCCTGCCATAAACCTTTATCTGCAAATTCTGATGTTTTGGTTTGTTTGGCCTCACGCTGTGTCGGGCACATGAACATTATGTCTGCTGGGCTTGAGATCAGCATTTTAAGAATAATTCGAAATATGACTGTATTGTGCATGTTTGTGTGTGTGTGTGTGTATATTATGTTTATATCTATCTGCCTATCTTTGTCTTCTAATCTATCTCAATGGTGTGCTGAAGCCAGCTCATACTGGATCATAAGGGCTGACAGATACATTTTCAGGAATTTTGCAAGCTGGTTAGGGTTAAGTTGATAGCTTGAAAATGACCATAGCAAAACTACTTAGAACGTGGAAATTGGCAAATGATTTTTTTCCTCCTGGAGAGCCAGTTGTTAAATAATTTACCAATATAACATTGTGAGCTTGGTCTGGAAAGAGACTTCATAGATATTCAGTTCACAGTGGAAGCAATAATTAATTTTAAAAAACATCAAAGTTAAAAAAAAGAAATTTTGTGTGCAATTTAACTTAGCCAGTAAACTCATAAAGTCTTAAATATTGCTTTTCTTATTCAATTTTTAAAAAATAAAATGATTTAGTATATTTCTTAATCGCTGACTATGTTTTAGAACATTTGTACAAAGCTAATTTGGGATGTCTATTGACTTACTATTTTACTCAAAGCCTCTACATTTGTGATATTTAGATAGCTGTATCAATGTACACTAAAGTTAAAGTGAAAACTATATGCAAAGTGGATGAATCAAACTTTTCTTGTGGTGTATCTTTTATGTGTTTATTTTTTGTAAACTCTGTCATTTGGTATTGAGGTATTTTTTGTTCAATTTGTGTCCACGCATGTGTGCGTGCGTGTGTGTTTCTACACACACGGGCACAGAAGCACAGACACGTATGCACATAAACCTCAACCAATGACAAATACAAGGGAAGTAGGATATCTGGCTCGTTAAATACTTAAACACCAGGAATGACTTCTGTTAAAAACTATGCCAGGTTTATTAGTAGCCATTTGATCTGGCCAAACAGCTCTTCCCCTGTTTTCTGGCAAGTTCAAAATGCCATCTTTCCTGTTTTCCCCTTTGGGTTAACAACATACTTAGTTTAAATGTGCACACTCCTGGTTCAGTGAACGTTTGCCTCGCAGTCGCAGAGAACATGTGTGCGTTTTTAAACATTTTATCTGGTAGAGTTATTTCTGCGCATGTGCTGAGATTGGAGCAGAGCTGCCGAGCAGACCGTGCACAGAGCAGGGCAACATGGTGACTCCAAATAAGAGAGACATGAGTTTTGTTGGGCAAAAAAAAAACAGGTGGAAACAATGATTGGTGAACCTGGAGATGAGGGTGGGAATGAAGAAGATTATGAAACTGGACGTTTCTGAACAATGACAGGCCAGCAAGAGGGTATCAAATCTCTGGAAAGATTTAGCCTTTCTTCCAGATACCCATGACCTCAGCACTCCCCAGGTGCCCATCTTTGACATCAGGATCTTAGATGTAGGTGTGGAGAGCCATGAGGTAGGCTGCCTCTGAGTCCACAGATAATTCCTTGGAAGTTAGTTTTTAAAAATTAAATCCATGGCATTTAATTTCTTCATTGACTTGATGCTTTTTGAGAAAAGCAGAGCCCAGGACTTTCTGGATACCTGTGGGTTCCGATCTTGCGGTCAGTTGGGTGGAGAGATGGCGTTGCTGCTGCAGTATCAGCACCTTTTACAGCAGTAGTTCACGTACACATTCATTCATTCATTGTTTTCTTCCTAAGAAATGGAGCAACCTAGGAGCTTATGCTACAGCAGAGTCCAATGCACCATAATGATTACTTCAAGAACAAAGAAGCTCATACAAAGCTGTGATGTCTTTCTATTGGTGCGAGTTTTCAAACCTGAAATCCTTCAAAAGACACTTCTGGAGATCTCCTTAAATACTGATAAGCCACACTCCAAAAGCATTGGCTTTGTGGTGAAATGCAATACTGTAATGGAATACTGCCTTTTCATAAAAATAAGAAATGTGGTTGGAAAATTAAATACCTTTAAAAAGATGAAAAATAAACATACTCTCACAGCTTGAGGGTTTGAATGAACCATGTACCAAGGAGTTGAGAAAACTCCTACATTCGGTTACATCCTGGGACTTCTAATGCTCAAAAGCTGCCCGGCAAAGATGACCAGCATTTCAGTGGCATTCCATGTATGTTGCCATGTTTCATTCAGAAACCACTTTAGCACATCCCACACACAATGTGACTTTTCATGACAAGTCAGTTATACCACACAAAACTGCTGTGCTTTCTCAGTACAAAAGAGTTCTGAGTTTCAGAGTTCAATATCAAAATTAAGTGTGTTCTGTAAAAGCTTAAATTAACCCATTCAGTGCACTGGCTTTTAAACAAGTCGATTTTGATTTTCCATCCTAGACAGAATTTCAGCTCAATTGTACTAAACACTTTGGAAAGAAAACTTTCCAAGTACAGAACCCAACAAAAAGACGCTGAAGGTATTCTCTGGGATTTACTTCCAATTTTGGTCCATGTTGTATATAGACTCTACCTGGGAAATTTTTCTCATTTAAACAGGGGAAAGTGACCTTTTTCAGGTAATTCCTTTCTTGGCACATAAAATGTTGACTATCATGCTGAATGTGGATATCCATCAGGAATCAATGGAAAAAGCTTAATTTACATAGTTTGGAAAGTAAATGTTTCAGTGATAATCATAAAAACCTTTTTATGACTCCCTTAAATACTTTGAATGGTGATTTAATATATAAGCATATTTTTACAGGTTATTTTTCATCTTCAAAACATTGAAATTTTGCTTAAATACTCAACAAAAATGAGTAATTATCTAAAAATATTTTTCAACATCTTATAAAATATATCACTAAGGTATTATTTCTGGATCATGCTTGATCTGTAATTTTCCAAGTGCTTAATCCCTGATGGATTACATAAGTTATGTGACTACGACTTTAACTGAATTGATAAATTTCTTGTCACATATTTGAGGCAAACCTGAGGACAGATCATTGAATAATTTTTTTCTTTTCAAAAATGTATCATTTCTCCATTTTCTTCTTTAGTGGTCTTTTGAAGAATCCAATCTGTTGAGAAAATACCAGACAAAATACAATTAATTATCTGAATTTAGGTAATACTAATCTTCTTGGATAAAATTTAGTTTAGTAATATGTTAGCAATTGTGGACATAAAAATCATATAATCGAGGGGTATTTTTTCATTGACCTAGTAAGTAATATTGAATATCAAGAAATGACATTTATTAAATTGCTATTTCATTTTCAAATTTTTTGTTCATTAAACATATTATGTCTCCTAGTAAAAACTAGTACATGTAGCAAACTAAAAGGCTTCTGGGAAAATATTCTGGGAGACATACAAACTGCAGTTACCTAGCACTATCTCTGCCATCATCTTTCTTTTTCAGGGATGTTTTAGAGAAATTTCCATCAAATAACCAATGGTCATAAATTGAGGTCATTAGAGCTGGTGGTGAATCTGGTAGGTACACTATGGCTAAGGAGTTGGGGAGATTTCTGAATTGTCTGGATTAACTTTAAATGTGTTAGAACATCTGTCTACATAGGCCTGACACAAAGAGCCTCTTGAAATCACCCTGTGTCATTTGAATATGAAAACGAAGTCCCTGAATATACAAAAAATTTCACATGGTGGTGAATGTGGGTCATTTTTCATTATGCTTTGTGATATCAGGCATCATAAAAATTACAAGTGCTTTATTTCTGATTATACAGAATAATAAGTATGGGAGCTGAAAGGGATTTTTACAACATTCTAATCTAAAATGGATATTTAAAAAAAGATATTTTAAAAAAGGTCCTAGAGAAGTGTTTTTTAAAAAAAGTCTATGTATATATATATATTTTAATTTGAGAGTGGATTATAATAGTTAAAGCAAAGATAGTGAGTTAAGTCTATGAAAGTGTGGTACCTTCACATCATTTTAATCATGAAGTCATGGTAAATTATGCAAGGGAATTATATATATAATATATAAATATTATATATATATTTAAATAATTATTGAATAGGTGAAGGTTTCAAGGGCACAAATGGTCAAAAACATGCAGTTTTAAATTAGAGCAGTTTTTCTCAGGACTTCATGTCATCCTCCATGCCAGAATCTAGTTGGTGGGAGATGTCACATAAAAGGTGGCAACAGAACAAATGAACATGAAAAAACAGTACATTTGTCTTCCTTAGAGAATTCCAGTTCTCCTACATGTATCAGGTCTTTTCCTTTGAGCCAAATATAAAAGTTCTGAATTCACAAACCATTAGGCCTCCTAACTTGTCCCTGCACGTCCTGCATCGATGATAAATCTGACAAGGTTGTCACAAAAGCAGATGGCGAATTACGACTTCTTTTTCCGCCCCGCCTGGCTTCTGACGTCTATCCTTTTCAAGTCCTTTTGCTTCTTTTCAACCTTTCTCTGCTTTCACACATTCCATGCTTTATTTTAAAACTTAACTTCAGTTATCTAAACTTTCCCACCCAACAGGTTCTATTAACATTGGATTTTTAGTGGAAGTTGGGTGATTAGAGTGAAGACTAAGAAAACATAGTTTATAGCTTCAAACTGAATGAGGTCAATACAAGCCAACATTTGCAGCAAGGTAAGTTTGTTTTCAGCACCCAGACTTTCTTTGTAGCATTTGCTTTCCTTCTTCTTCTTTTTGTATTTACTTAATGATCTGACTTGTGATTCCCTAGTTCAAAACCCTATGACAAAGGTCTTATAAAACTGTCCCTGGCAGAAATACCTGCTCAATGACTATCATATAGTCATATACATTTATATTAACATATAAAAGACTAAAAGATGGCAGTGCTATTCCCCTGTCCACATTACCCAAGGATATGCATATTAAGTGAGGAACAAGCTTTAGGATTCGTAAATAAATCATCAATGGTGGAACTTCAGACATTGGAATGAGATTAAGTTAAGAGAGAGGAACCATCTGCTTTCTCGGGTTCCTCTGTGGACTGAGTTTCATTCTATTCTATTGGTTATATTTGTCTGACTGGGCTTCTCTCTGAGGGTGTGGTACCATATTTCAGGACATGTTTTTCTATATTTAAACCTGTGTCCCCTACAAGCCTTCTCCCCTCACCATTAAGTACATTAAACACCTACTAAGATTCTGTTAAGCTTTAATCCCTGCTATGTGAGCTACAAAGATAAAGATATAAAGACTGTCTTTTGAAATGTAATCCCAGCTCCGGGGGGGAACGTTTGGCCTGTTTCCTGCACGAAGTCTCAGACTGAGAGTTTCGGTGAACTTCCAGAGTGGTGGGATTTGGAGGAAGGAGGAAGAAAGAATAGTCCTGAGGTTTCTGGTCCAGGTCTAATGAGTCTAAAAAGATGCCTGGGGTGAGAGTCGCTCTTCTGAGCCTCCTGCAGACCGAATGCTTCAGGGAGGTGCAAGCAGGAGGAGGGCCAATTAAGATTTTCAGTGTAATCGAGCTGCTGCGAGTCTGAGCCCAGTCTCTGCTGAGGGACTCTCTCTCTAATACCAATCGTGTTTATGCGTTTTGGAGAGTTCATGACCCTCTTGAACGAAACCCAGTTCCTGGAGCTCCAGAGTGAAAAGCCCTGCCCCATAGCCTGCAGGGGTGGGATATATTGGATGAGGGGTTGGCTTTGCAGAGAGAGCAATAATTGAACCTTGAACCGTCCCCTGATTTTAGCTGGTAACTCTTGCAAGAGTTAACTGTTTGCTTCAGGGTCCTCAGGGGTAAAATGTAGTTAGAACACTTAGTTGAGAAGGTTGTAAGGATCACAGAGTGAATAAGCAAGAGAGTACGCAGATTGAGGAGCTGATGGTGTTGGCACAGAAGTGAAATGGCCCAGATTCAGATCTTTACTCTGAACCTGACAAACCCTGTGGCCTTGGGAAACATATTTAACTTGCCTATAACTCAGCTCCTGTGCTTACAAAATGAGGTCCATAATAGTGTTTTCCTTCTAGAACTGATGTTAGTATGAAAGCAGAAAAGCTTACAACAGTTCCTGGAATGTAGTAAAATTATTCAATAATTAAGTGCTGGTTCCCTTCCGTCCTACTGTGGAATCACCGTTCTGATTGCCGGGTCTGCCACCAATGTGGCTGATCAAACTGGACCTACTGGGCAGGACAGTCCACAGGTGGTTAAATGATCTTGCTGTGGGCTTAAAAAGAAGATCTATGAAGCCATCAGAACGTATCATCAAAACATTTACTGGATGGAAGAATGTGTTTGATTTTACGTTTATGCTTTTCCAGACTGATGACCAAAAAAAACAGCTGGCTGAAACTTATTTGTTAGTTTTAAACAGAGGTATGCAGCCAGAAAGACTATCCAAATATCAGCGCTGGCTTTCCTCTTCTCATGGCAGCAGTGTCCTAAAACTACACGGAGCAAGTGCTGTGCTTAGAAAAGGAGACCACACTGAAAGAAATTAACAGTAAAACGTTCTCCTAGAGGTGGCTATGAGCGAAGAAACCACATCCTACATTTCAAGCAACTTGACATCACTAAGCCGGCCCTTGGGTACCACAGTGTGGCAAAGCCAGGTATTACAGACAGAGCACGGATACCCTGCAATGTAGGAGGAAGAGCTGGAGGTTTGAGATGGTGGAGATTTCTGTCTTGAAGACTGCTAGAGAAGAGCTATGGATTCTATTTACTGAGCTAAATGCTCTTGACCTACATCTTTAACATGGCTTTGTTCATCTTCTGTGAGAGTAACCCTCCAAAAGAGGAAGTTAGTCATTATAAGGGGCAGAAAGGAAAGGAACAGTTGATCATGTGGTGGGAGAGAAATTTGTTATTTAAATTATTTGATTAAAGGTAATTCTGCTGCTCAGGAATTAGAAAAATGAACATGCAGCCACAATCTGTATTTTTAGCATAGTTTAGCTATTCAACAAAATAATAGGTAAACTATAGGGTGATATGCTAGAATAAATGCCAATTTGATGCTTAATTAGAAAACATTAAATTCAACTTTTCTATGAGATTTTATCCTCTATTAAATTTATCCTAAAAGATACCATCTTAGTTCTGCTTAATTTGAAAATGATAACAGCTAAGTGTTTGAAAAATCTTGCATATCTCAATTTAAGCAAAACATATATGTAAATATGTGGATTTACTCCACAGAAAATAGATGGTTACTCGGTTTTATAGGAGGATTTGAAACAGAAGTCTATGAAACTGTAAGATTTCTGTTTCATCAACTAATTAATAAATCTCATTTCTTATTCAGGTACACAATGATTGCAAAAATGTGGTATTTTTATAGGTTAAAGGAACATTTAATTTTTAAGATACATAGAGATGTGTGATTAGGATAAGGCGTATCTTAACCATAATAACGTGGTTTATATATTCTTAAATTGACATAGGAATTCGTACTTTTCTTTTTCTGTAAGAGAGAGTTTTCATTCTTCTCTGCTTATAAAAGTAACGTATACTTAATTTAAAATTTCGTGTTAGAGGCAAGTGAGTCTCCTTTAATCCCAACCTTTAGAGAGATGTTCCATGATTTTTGGCTGTGATTTTTTTTTTACTGGTACAAAAATGGGGTCAAGTTGTACACCATGTCTGAGACGTCCATTTTTCTTTTTAATTTTGTCTTGGTCATCATTTCAATGTTTTTCATTGCTGTATGATACTGTATTCCACAGGATGGATAAATTATAATTTGTTTCACCAATATGCTGTTGATAATTGAAATAGAAAAGTCAAAGGAACTTTGATTCTTACCTTCCACAGTGCTAATATGAGCAGCATTAATAGCAATAATCCAGCAAAAGCACTCAAGAGGATAACCCACAATGGCACTCTGCCTGGCAGCCCGTCTTTGGATATTTGAATAGCGAGCTGAAAATTATTAAACAAGATTGTTAACACTGATAAACACCTCTTAGAACTCCTAATACACCGAGTTCTTATAGGCTGTAATCTTCTACCAAACAGTGTACTTAATCTCATTACTACATGCAGAGAAAACATTGACTTTCCAATTAAAAGTGCCCTTCATCTATTCTAAATCTCTAACCATGTCAAATTCATTATTACCAAAACAATTTTATAACCTTATCCTTCAGAAATTCATACATAAAGAGTAAATTGTCTATGAATCAGAATGCTCAAGGGCAGAGGTGAATTTAACTCAGGGAGAACCAACGGTATTGCATGTTTCAAAGGTTTGTTAATAGACGTCAGTGTGTTATCACAATGGCATAAGTTGGAGCTGAAATATTGTCACAAGTTGTTGACACATAAACCTGAGTAGGTTTCCCAATTCTAATTCTAATGTGCTTTATTTTATTTTTTTAACAAATCGAGGTACAATTTTCATATAGTAAAATGCACAAATCTCAAGTGTACAGATAAATGAATTTTTGCATATATCGCCCCAAATGTGTTTTTGGTTATACTACACTGTCTATTCCTGACATACTCCTGGTATCTACAAATTAGGTCTCAACTGAAGTAAATCTTTGAAAGAGACAGCTTTTAGCATTCCAGCTACTCAAGCTCTCTCAAGGTGGCAGCCAAACCCCAATGAAAGGTATTTTTCCTATGTCTCATTCCGAGGTTTCTGAGGAAAAAAAAAACTAATTCAGGGTAGCTATCAGTGACCAAAAATAGCTAAAGATCCTCTGTTTGCCTTTAATGGGGGAACATCTCAATTCCTTAACCTAGAGGGGAAGATTAGGGGTAAAAAAGGGAACTAACAGGGGAGATACTTATTTGCATGTAGTGGATACTGATCCAAATTTCTCAAATTGCTCTGGGTAGGTCACTGCTGATGTATCAGGAACATGGAGCAGGTAGGAGTATAGATATACACAGAATCAGACCTTTTTTGGGGGGTGGGGGAGGTAATTAGGTTTGTTTACTTAATTATTTCTTAATAAAGGTGCTGGGGATTAGAACCCAGGACCTTGTGCATGCTAAGTAGGCACTCTACCACTGAGCTACAATTTCCCCCTCAGAAGCAGACTCTTTAAGACAGACTTTAAACACATCTAAAACAATTCCCTGAACTTAAAGGTACAGAAACCGAAGTCTGGATGGGATCACCAACTTCTCTAAGATCACACACTTACAAAGTGATCATTTCAAATAATTTTAACAAATTAATTTTTCTTTAGGATAAAATGTAGAATAAACAGCTCTGTGGGGAATTTTTAAACTAGTATTTAGGGAAAATAAAGCTAATTATAAATTTTTAACAAAATATATTTAGGAATCAAATGTGTTCTTTTACAATATTATCATGTAATATTATTTTCCAATAATATTTACTCATTTTTTTGGTGCTTACCTGTGAAATTTTAGCTTTTCTATATGGGGAACAACTTTTCATTTATTGGGCTAAATGCTCTTTACAAAGTAAGTAAACATTATATGCAGATATTCTATGCATTCTATGCATGTACTTTTTAAAGGTGAATATTTATCAGAGGTCACTGACATTGGAATTATTTGAAATAAAAATTTAAAACATCTCAATGTTAGGTAGCTTCAAAATAGAATTTTATGACTCATAATATCCACATGAAATATTTAAACTCTGATGTAAAAGGGGAAATAATGCTGAAGTGCCCACATCTATAACACGTACTTTGGCTTTATTTTGTAACAGGACAAGAGGAAAAAAAACTCAAACCATTTTATTTTTATCAAGGGCTCCAGCATGTATCTGTACTAGGGAATAACACTTCATTTTTGTTTCAAATTTCCCAATGAGTAAATGAAGAAAATTTTATAGAGTTTAATGTAGTCCTGTACAGTATAAAGATACTTTCTATAAAGAAATTATTTTTCAGGTCTGTTCTTCAGATCTCAACTGCATTTTATAATGTCAGTTTTTAAGGACGAAAATTTACAAATGCAACATTTGTTATCAAGGTGAAAGTAAAAACATCAATTTACTGTGATAGTTAGAAACAATAAAGTAAAACATGACATGTTAATTGTAAATACCATGTTTTTCCCAGTTTCTTACAAAGAAAAATGAGACTGAAATCACACTTGACGCTAATTGAGTATAATTTGAAGCAAAAAGTGTCATTTTTTGGGAGCAGTGCTAGTCACTGCTTTAGGGACTATAAGCAAATATAAAACATTATGTCACAAACAGAATGAAATGTATAATGTTTTCAAAGTTTGGAGTCTCACTTACCTCTCTTTTTTGATTACCAGCACTTAAAACTAATGATGTATTTTCACTCTGAAGCTCTGCCCTTACAGTAAGATTTAAGCTGGAAAAATGTGCCTGAAAAAAGCAAACAGGTTTCATTTTCAGTATATAAAGCTAATCACAATGAGAGCTAGTCATGTTTAAGTAGTGCAATTTTTCAACCTAAAATTGTTCTGAAGGGTTGAAACAGCAGTTTAACACCCAAACAGAACTGGTGGTATGAAAGGATGACTGTATACCCACCCTTCCCCTTTGCATTCAAATTCTCACTTAGACCCTTGTTACGGAACGGGGAATTTTTCTGAATAAAGCAGTTTTCATTCAGATTTATCCTTAGCAGAAACAAACCCCACACCCTGCCATCCCTTTCACATGGCTAGTTACGGAAATAGTTACACTCTGGTGCAGAGGTTTACACAGGAGCTTGTTTAGGATTAAGCATGAAGTCACCCATATCCAACAATTCATGACTTACAAAAATAACAACCTGATATGCTCAAACCTAAAAGTGGAAATTTCATATAATTAACAAAATACATCTAATAGAGAAACAAATAATGCAAACTGCAATGGACGAAGCTGTAAAGTAGCTAGTTGTCAGATGGGCTTGACTTTATTAGGGGTTAAAAAATGTCCTCCAAGATAGATAGATAGGTAGTCTGATCAAACACGATGAGTCTATATAATACATACTAGCTCTACTCTTTGTTAATGGTGTCAAAGATTGTCTCTCTAAAATTGTTTGCCCCTTAACTGAGCTCTGAAGCACTAAGGTAAGTGCAAACTTTGGCGTTGTATAGTGTTTATCTCTGAAGGTGTAAAGGAAAAGAACAAGAGAAACTCAAAAAACAAGCTTATATTTGAAAAGGGACCTTGAAGATAACTTAGTTACTAACAGACAAGGAAAATGAGATCCAAATAGCTGGTTTAGTAGAGCTGGGGCTTGGACCACGTTGTTTTCAGACTTTCAGTCTGTGTTCTTTCTGCAGAAGCACTCTGCTTTGCATATACTAAGTGATGAACAAATATGCATTCATATAGTTCAATTATTGCAGAGAACAATGCAGTTACTTACTTTTATAAAAGTTGGTTTCCATAAGATAAGCGAAACATTCACCTGGCTCACGTCAGAAGGAATCAGAGTACATGTGATGGTTGCAAATTTACATGTACTGCAGTCCTGTTTAAATGTCCAGAGATATAAATTAGTACTCTTGCTATTTGATAAAAGATAGTATAATAAAATATTTTATAAGATTATTATTTTTAGATCGATATTGAATTTATTCACTTGGAAAGCAGGATATAGAGTTAACACTTGTCTTGGTAATTTGAATTTACCAGAATGGTGCCTCGTTTGAGATCTTCAGGTTTGGATATAATCGTGTTCTTTCCAGAGTTGATATCAAAAGGATCCTGGAGGCTACTGGGTTTGCAGTTTGCATTCTAAGAAATAAAAATATTTCTTCTATCAGACAATGCCAGATGTCAGAGGGGAAAATAACTTGGTGGTATAATGTGACCAATCTGTGAATGAAAGCCACTGTGCCAGATGTGAAACGTACATCTTCGTAAGTGTGCGTATAGAAGACACACGACCCCAGATCAGAATTACTGTTACCATGCCATATTTGAATTGTAAGAGGTCGCGATAAAAGTTGCTGTAGGGAATGAAGGATGCTCGCAGAACTTACTATTATGTAACACACTCATTAATTTATTGTTTTCATCAAACATTAGTTTGTAGATCCCCACAAAACAGAGAGAGAAAAAAGTTAACTCTACTGAGTTAAAAAAAAAGGATTAGCATTTGTTATTCAAGATGATGGCTCATAAGATGGTTAGTGAAACAAACAAAAACCAGAGAGGGACTTCCATCTGTGTTCATGTATTCATCCAGTTCACCAGGAGTCCCTATGTCCCACGGTAAGACACAGTCTGTGTGGGAGGAAGATGTAAGAAAGCAGTCCTAGAGATGTTAAAATGCCATGTTTATAAGATACTGGTTCTTGGATTGTTTTTCTAGACTTAATGTAAAAAATCTTTTGCTTCCCCAGGACTCTCTCCATCCCTGATAAAAGGTATCAAGAATAGAGGTTCATGCATGACTGGGACTTATGCTGTACACCAGAGATGGACACATCGTTCATCTGCACTTCAATAAAAAATAGAGGTTCATAAGTAGTAGGACAAGTCCAATTTTATTCTTCTAGGTTCCCACAAACCTGCTTTTTTGGATTAGAGGTAAATGCTAGAGGTTTATGTTTTCCTTGCCTTTAGGGAAACATTTAAATATTACAAGCCAACTTCCTATTACAAGCCAACTGATGCTATTTCTTGATTTCTGAGAATACTTAAACTGAAACAAAATGTCTAAAAAGAAGAGATTGTCAAATGCTGAAATCATGCATGGATTAATTCAATACTTATTGTGATTTTCTATCTTTGAGACAAAAGCGTAACAATAAACTTCCATATAGACTCATTCAATGCTGTAGGTATGAAGGGGGTGTGACATCGCTAATACCTGGAGAGAGTTGTAGTGTACTGTTTCAGATCAGCTGTATGTGCTGAGGAGCAATGAATGAGTCTTTTTATAGAGCTGTTTGAACACTTCAAGTAAATTAAAGGTCTAACAAACTTTTTAGGCATAAGTCAACAATTATTTATCTAAAACCTGCTCTAGTGGATTGATTAGGGATCCCCAAAGGATATACCCAAGTTCTGACACCTGGAACCTGTGACTGTGACCTTATTTGAAAACAGGGTCATTGCAGATGTAATTAAATTAAGGATTTCCAGATGAGATCACTCTGAATTTAGGTCAGGCTCTAAATCCACTGATGAGTGTGCTTTAGGAGACAGAACGGCAGAAGACACCGAAACACAGGGAAGATAGCCCTGTGAAGACAGAGGCAGCGGTAGGAGTGATGCTGTCACACGCTAAGGAACGGCAAGGGCCGACATCGGCCTCCAGAAGTTAGGAGAGAGGCATGGAACGGACTGTCCCTTGGAGACTCCAGAGGGAACCAACCTTAATTTTAGACTTCTGGCCTTCAGAACTGGGAGAGAATACATTTCTGTTGTTTTCAGCCACCCAGTCTGGGGTAACTTGTTACCATAGCAGCTATGCGGAATGAATGCAGTTACTAAATAACTAGTGGCAGGTGGTAGTAGTTAGTAGTAGTGAAAGTCATAGTGCATTTGTCTAAATGCCGCTCCAAGTTACTTTGGTAAAGGCTCTTGATCACAAGCGGCACACAGAACAAAAGGCTTTAGATACAAGTTGGAGAAGATAACATAACAACGTAATTCCGAAGCACGCATGACTCACGTCAGAAGATGACCATCCACTTGGGTACAGTACAGGAGAATGATCTGATGTCATGTTGGGGAATGAAATTGACAGCTTCAGTTCTGGCATTGGAAAGTGTCCGGTCTTTCTAATCTACAAGCGAAAAAAAGAAAGGTAATTCTTTCTTCCTCTTTCAACAGCAGCTTTTCTGCCTTATATAGGATTCTGGTTCTTAACTGATGAATTAAGTTGTATAATATTGTGCATCCCAAAATAAATGCAGAGGACTTATGGCACTGTTCAGGGAATTGGCATAATTAAATAAGCAAAAAAATAAAGATGTTTAACGGTCAGTGATTATACGCATCAGCTACAATCATATATTGTTCCTTCATCCTCCCAAACTCAGGGTTAATTTTTTTCCGTTTACCATGCTCATTGTCCGTTCTAGCATATCAGTCTTCCTGGAGGTGGAAATGAGGGAGACCGTTTACCTGATTCACTCAGAACAGGTGAGCGTATTTTTCTTTGCCTCACCCAGCTTGCTATAATTCCGAGCCCACAAAATCATTTCTCACCCCAGCTAGATGGGCTCTGGTGCACGCAAACCAGACACCTATCTGCTTCTCTTCACAATCCTTTGCCCAGCTAGGGTTGTGGCACTGGCTGTTGATAATCCAGTCCTCTGAGAATCAGACTGACTCTCATTTCAATTGCCATCGCTTTTATCCGCTAACCTAAAATTCTCACTTGACATCACATCATGCCACCAATAGTGACTGTGGGTCACAGGGGAGGAAAGCTGGGTGGGAGGGAATTCAGCAGGAAGCTGGATTCCCTATGCAGAAGCCCTCCCTTGCTTAGAAGAGATGCAACAGAACTGGAGCCACCCAGTAATGTGCCCTCCCTACCCACCATCATCTCCAGCCCTCAGCCTTCCCCCTGGCCTTCCTGGGCTGAATCCTTAAGTAGCAGGGTGCTCCTCAATATACAGAGACAGATGCCAGGGAGTCCAACTCACCTACCTACCTGAGCCTTCCAGACTGAGAGCTACTCAGATCTGGAGCTGTTTTCTGTGCTTGCTGAGGATTAAACTCTGGAGATCCCTGCCCAGCTGTTCCTGGCCTCTTAAATATGCTCCCCACTTCTTACCTGCTTATTGTAGTGTGCCCTGGGCTTGCCTGGCACGGCCTCCCAGCCTAATTCCACCTGTTTCTTGATATTGAGTCATAAATTGTGTATTCTGTAATGCATACTTATTTTTTCTGATTGGAAACAATGTTCCTTATAGAAACATTGAAAAATATTGAAAAACAGAAAGTTTCCCACATTTCCACTATATTGGTAACATTTCAGTGTACAAATTACCTTTTATATTTGTATATGCATATCATAAAGTTTGTATCATATAAAATATGAAATTTGGCATCCCATTTGTAAAGTTTATTATGTCGTGGCATCTTTCCATAAACCTAGGGATTCTTTGAGAATATGAATTTCATTAGCCACTGAGTGACAACCACCACATCAATATTTATTGTTGACCGTGTTCTAGGCCCTGTGCTAACTTTCTTACTTGCATTGTTTTTAACCCTGTTAATAGCCCTATGAAGTAGATTCTCTTATTATCCCTGTTTTATCTATGAGGAAATAAGTTTAGAATGAGAATAAAATCTTCCACGGTCTCAGAGCTAGTAAATAGCAAAATTAGGGTTTTATAAACTCCAAAATGTGCCCTCTGAACTACTGTAACAGCTGTCTCCCCATTGAATAATGGATAATTTAAGCAAATTCATGTTGTTAAGCTTTTAAGTTTTGCCCAGATTTTAATTTTTAAATTACCATAAACAACATTGCTAAGAGTATCTCTGAGCATTATTGTACCACCAATAATTTCCTATGGTAAATTCCTAGCAGTAAAATTACTGGGTCCCACTTGAAAAAAAAATTTCTTTTTTTAATTCCATTACTCCAATTTTAGATTTTACCCTAGCAAAACAGGCAGAGATACAAAAGATATATGCTGAGGGATATTCTTAACAATGTTATTTACATCAACATTATTTATAATAGTTTGAGAGCACCTGTTTCAAGTCTGGACCCTAGAAGGTGACAATTCATGAAGATCTACCTCTACCACATTCAAAGTCCCTCCCTCCTCTCCTCTCTTTCCTTCTTTTCTTCTCCTTTCCTTTCTTCCCATTTTTCCCTTGTCATTTGCTGAATTCTCTACACCAGGAAAAGCAAATGGGATGAGAAAAACCTGGTAGCCGAAATTTCAAAAATTTATCCCAGTAGTAGAGTGACTGGCATTCACAGAAATGTAAGTTGTCATAGGCAGTTCAGCAAAGGGCACAAAAAAAATAACGAAATGTTCTTGAGAGTATACATTTATTTCCATTTTGTAAGAGAATTTCCTTTTTCATCATTGGCAATTTCAAGAGGCTGAGACCATCTTCACCTATAATAATGTTGCATTATTTCATACTCTTGAATACAGATTTAAATCCATAATTTAAATTGGACTTTCTTTTACTCGAGTAACATTAACTTGAGTCTGTGTCTGCAAGTAGGCATTACCGAAAATGACAGCCTTGCTCAATTCCATAATTGTTTACTATAATGGTTAGAAAAAGTTTGCTTTGAAGGGTTCAAAAAGAAAAATAAATGATGTAATAGAAACATCACTTAAGGAGGTGGTAGTGGAAACATCAGTTAAGTTATGCTATAATACATTTGAGAGATAGCAAGGAGCAGAATGAGATACAAATTTATTTTTGAGTAAAGAAAATTATTACCAAGACAATGTGAAATAATCGATTTCTGAAATAGTCAGATTATTTTAAAAAGCACTTTTTCAGTCATACTGAAAAAAATAAATGCAAATAAAGTCTCCAGATTTATAGGTAGTGTCTACTTGCTTCCCTAGTTTATTTTTTCCAGGGAGTCATTCTAATAAATTGTGTCCTATAAGGAAATTAGAGACTTGGGTCTTTAAATTTGCTTCCAAGTATAATTATCATCAATTTAAACAAAACTCTTTTAAAGTAGCAAAATTATAAAGAAAAATAGGATGGAATTGAATAAATATGTTTCTATGTGTCTGTTAATACTT